TGACGGGTTAGCCAGTTCTTGAGGGCTGTGCGGAAGGCCTGGACGGTGGTGAGGGTACTTTATCCCGTGCCTCCGAATGATCTCGCCCAGCGGTTTCATGTATATGTTAAATAGTAGGGGGGGGTAAGACCAAGCCCTGCGGCACCCCATAAGTTAGGGGCCTCGGGGACGATCTCTGCCCCCCCACCAACACCGACTGCGACCTGTCCGAGAGGTAGGAGGAGAACCACTGCAAAACAGTGCCTCCCACTCCCACCTCCCGCAGTTAGATAAGCAAACAGTTTGAAAGGGGTAAGTCATTGGCATCCTGCAGGCTCAAAAGACTATGGTATCGTGCTCTGGAAAGAAGTCCTAAAGCAGCATCTGAAGGTGCTAAAAAGGCCAATGAGAGAGTGGCAATCCCTTCCACACTGAGGGCAGATACATTCTGTCCCCTGCCCAGTCCCCAGATTTCACTGGTTCTAGGACTGCCTCTTTGACTCAGCCTGTCGAACAAGTGTCTCTTTGAATTGGAGAAGGCCAGGCTGTGTCTTTAGCCTCCAAGCAGAACGATCAGAGGTCAAGGTTTCCCAACTGTCAATGTCCATCCCCAAGGCCTTCAGATCCCTCTGCAGATATCCTTATATCACAGCTGTGGTCTCTCTCTGGGGCACTTTCCCTGCACTAATTCTCCATACAGGAGATCTTTCGGAATCCAATCATCAGCCATTCTCATGACATGCCCAAGCCAGTGTAGATGTCGCTGTTTTGATAGTGTATACATGTTAGAAATTCCAACACGTAAGACAGATAACAATATTCAAGGGAGAATAACAACAGGGTACATCCTCCCAAGGTGTTATACATATATGTTGTACATGTTTTCAACAGTATAAAAGGCAAGGGCAAGTTGCCTTCTGGCCAAGAGTGTGCCAGCAATAATTGCCTTTTAGAAATTAGTTATAACTAATTGATTGCATCCAGATGGTAACTACAGTTCCTTAAGAAATTCAGTTGTAATCAAAATTAGCCTCTATACTTAAGGGCTGAAAAGCAGTCATTTTTAAAAAACCTCCATTTGGAAAAAGGGACCAAGGAGGAATACAACAAACTGTGTTCCAAGTCCATCCTAGGGATTGTTTTCCTTAAAACAATTTATTGTCTAGTCGACTTTAATTAGATCTCTTTCTTGTATCCTCAAAAGGAGGGGAAAAGGCAGTTTAGAAGAAAAAAAATCCTTTGGGAAAGTTACTTATAAGATCTGACTAATAGTCCATTATTTTGGACACAACTGTTTTCAGCCAGTAATTCAGTTTCTCAAGACATGTAGTGTATACGATTTGATGGTTAAATAAATGTTCATTCAGAGTATGTAGTTATGCTATCTATCTGTGTTATAAACAGGTCACTTGGCTTATCTGACTAGGAAGACAATCAATCAATACTTTGCTGTATCCCACCCCCCACCAACAACAAGCTGTCCCGTCCAACCATTCTTGATCTGTCCTGTATTGCAGGCAAGATTTCTAGATATTGCTTGGAAGTTCTATTAGAACTAGAATTTGATGTGGACATATATCTTAGCAGAACTACATGCACCCAGCTTTCTTTCTGTTTTTTCATTCTTGCTCAAATGAAATTTGGGAACATGGATTCCTAAAAATATCTTTGGATTACTTTTGCTTCCTTTGTGTCGATCTCCTACTGTATATTTGTAGTTTCAACTCTAACCCTTTTGTCCACCCTAGTATATTTTCTCATTTGAAAAAGTTACCCTTGATTCCATTGGCTTCTAAAATTCTCTGGGAGGCATTTTCTGTTATGGCAACCCCATTGGAAAAGTGTTATTACTGCTCTGTTACAGAAACCCTCACTTTGAATTTCTCTCATTCAGCTACTTCCTTTGTTACTTTTTCTTTGACAGGAGAATTCCATCTAAATGCTATTACAGGAACCTGGTCATGGCTGTCTTACTCTTCAACCTCTCCTTTCTTAGTGATGAAGTTGGTAGTAATTCAGGAGTAACAATGGAGAACACTGAGTTCCCCTTGAGATTGCTTGCACATTGTGTATTTGATATTTTCTCTCAAGTACTTTAAATCCCTGGCCAAAATGTCCAAAGATTGTTCAACATTTGTTCTGTATTTTTTCTTCTGTAGAAATTGGGAAATTGATAGTCAGCTATCATAGGGCAGTGGACTCAACATTCAATCAGTGTTCTCTGGTCTTTTCTTCTATTGAATTAAAGTATTTATTAGTCTAATAACAAAAAAGCCCCTGTATTGGATCTTTCATTTCTTTCCAATTTGTTCCAGCTATTTATATAGAACAGGTTAATATGAAAGTAGAAGTAAAAAAATGAATAAGAATAAATGCCTGTTGTCAGCATTCCAAATATCATCCAGAATTAAATCAGAGTTCAAGACATAACTTTCATCAAAGTTCCAATTTAATAAGACAGACATGTTGGCACATTTGTGGAAACCCGAATCTGAAGGCTTCCTGGGGTTCCCACCCAGTTTAAAGTTCTATGAACTTGTCCCCACACCCACAAGCCCATCACATGGTCCAATCTTCCTCGGCCACATTGGCATTTCCACCCATCTAGTTCCGGTCAGATGNTTTTTTGTATTGTCCTACACTCCCCTTCCTTTTTTGATTGTAAGCCGCCCTGAGTCCCCTCAGGGAAAAGGGCGGCCTATAAATAAACTACTAAAAAAAAAAAAAGGGTCCATCAGAAATGAAAGCAAGAGCAGAATCATGAGAGGCAAAATGGAGTCCTGTTGTAGATTAGGATAGTCAACTGGCTAGAACTTCAAGGAGGATTGTTTGTGAAGTGAAAATATAGTGCATTTTTTTGTTATTGGTCTTATATGTTCTCAATATTCACATCCCACGAATAATTGAAAGTGGTTCCTGTATTTAGAGGTTTTCTTTCTTTTTTCTGGTCTTTGGACAGAAATAGGATCATGTTTTAGGACTGCTAATAAGACCCTCAGTTATATAGTATTTGTAATGCTTTTATGGAATTTTGGGGGTGGGGGGATATTGGGAATGCCACATCACATTATTGGAATATATCTGCAGGGTAATTGAGGAAAAGTTAACTGGACTTGCTGATGTTTACTAAAAGTTCTCAGACTCTTTCATTCCAATTTTTATCCCTGGCATTCCCCTAAACTTCTTTGGGTGATTTAAATAGTTGTATATAATAACAACAGTGACAAAAAAAACAGTTTTCAGGACACATAGAAATGACTTTGAATAAGGAGGGAGTAGGTTGGTTCTCTAGTCTGAGTGACCTCTTACTTTCTCAACCAAATGATGAACAAAATGAAACTGTGTCATCTAGTTGTGCCGCCAGAGGCTATAATGTAATGCAGTTATGCACAACAGAAATTGTATGGTGCTTGGCAGACAGACAGATTGGACTGAAAAGAGTTTTCTTTAAATCCATTCTGGATTGCCAGGATTTTTGATAATACTGCATCAAAATTAGCAAGTAGAACAAGAATGACAATGTTTTTAACTGCTAACTACCATTCATTCACATGACTGAAACCCTTTTGTGTTCTTGACTAGGCTAACAAAAAATGAGTTGGATGATGAAGCAGCTGAGAGTTTTGCTGAAATGGTAAAGGTTAACAAGAAATTGGGCCATCTGTGGTGAGTTGCACTGGTTTGTGAATGACACATTCTTAGTCATGGCTGGGGGCAGTAAACCATATTTTAAGAACTTTTACAAATTCTGTAGGAAGATCCATAGTTGGTTATTTGAATTATTTTGATTTAGGTATCCATTTAATGTTATATATTTCTGTATTTATTATTTGTAATACACCCTATCTCAGTGGATATCAGGGCACATTACAAATGCGAAATGAAGAAAAACTAACATATGACAAACCCAGAAAAAAAAACACCAAACAATAAATTCTTTCATCAGCAGAAGCAAAATAGGAAAGAATATTTGATGGTCTAAGATTATTATATGTTAACACAGGTGTTGACTTTCTTCTTCTTGTGTACTGTACAATATTTAGACTACATTTTCTGAACAGCAACCTTTATCAACTGTTTGCATAGCTTTATAAGGTTTGTTAGGATACAATAAACTAAAAGTGCAACATGCGACAAGAAGACAATAGCAAATGACTTCACTAGGCATCAGTCTTGACGCCAGGAAGTTTCACCCTTGTTTACATCTAGAGGACACGACATTGGGAAGAAAAAGGGGGAAGAGCAGGGATGAAAATCAGCAGGTTCTGACAGGTTCTGGAGAACTGCTAGCAGAAATTTTGAGTTGTTCGGAGAACCGGGAAATACTACCTCTGGCTGGCCCCACAGTGGAGTGGGAATGGAAATATTGCAATATCCTCTCCCCAGGAGTGGGGAGGGAATGGGGATTTTGCAGTAACTTTCCCTGGAATGGGGTGGGAATGGAGATTTTGCAGTATCCTTCCCCTGCCACTCCCACCAAAACACGCCCACAGAACTGATATTAAAAAAAATTGAATTTCACCAGTGGGGAAGAGGTATCATGGAAGGAGAAATAAGAGTCAGAAATAGAGATAAGGTGGGCTCCACTTGCTTTTGGTTTGTGTTATGCCCCTCACTTGCTTTTGTCCAACCTATCCTTGGCATGAAATGTAGCTCCTGCTTTGGAAGTATGTGGCTTCAACAGAAGGAATTTTGCTCATTTTTGAATTGAACAAAAAAAAGGGAGGGCTGAAGTCTTTGCAGTGATTGACAACTCCCCAGAGTTGTCTTTGGAGGCATTTGCTGAAGTGGCTTACAGACAGCACAATATGGCCAGGGAATGGTCTTTCAAGCAATTTTGTGGAATCAGCCAGTATAATCCCCCAGACATCTGCTGTTCTGTGATCACAGAGGAGTCGTAAAGTTAATAGTACAATTAAGTTCAGTAACCCTGAAAGAAGCTTTAAATTGAAGAGGTTCCCTTCTATGGCAAGATTGTCTGATTTCAAACAGGCCAGCCATGCAGATGGATATCAGAAACCATTAATTCCTGGCTGGCCACCAGCTTCACTTGTCAAGAAGAGGGTTGATTTTCTGCATCAGGTGCACCAAGCTCTGGCCAAATGCATGACAGGCAGGATGCTGCAAAGTAGGGATAGATAACAGTTTGTCCAGTGCAAAATATTTGTCTTCAGTCTGTTTTTTTCTCCTCTCTTCACCCCCAGGCTTATCCAGAACCATATTACAATTCGAGGAGCTAGGAGCTTAGCTGATGCTCTTCAGGACAATACAGCTCTCAAAGAAATCTGGTAAGGTCATTCATATGGAATAACACCCACCAGTGAGCCTTCAGTTCCATGACTCTTATGAAAACTTCACTAACTTGAATAGGGGGAAAGCAAGAGTGGGATGCCCTTGCCCTCTTGATGGAGCAAACTACGACTCCCAGAAACCTTAATTATGGACCCAATTGCTTAAATCTGTCAGGAGTTACCATTCAGCAATACAGGTAAGTCCTTGATTTACAACAGTTCCTTTAATGACCATTCAAAGTTACAATAGTATTGAAAAAAAGTGCTCATGCCCATTCTCCAAAGTTGATGGAGACAGCAGTCATGCATGGGTTAACTCAGTCAGTAACCAATAGAACTGAGTCTACCAAAGTGATGTCATCACCTCTGAGGAATGTCCTCCCGCTTTTTTAGACTCAGTTCGATCGGAACTGGCTGTGCTAATTGCTCTCTCCTCAACTTTCTAGTTAAACTTCACAATTGGATACTCTAATTAATTTTAATTGGCTTCTTCTCCAAAAATTTCATCTCTAAATTACTAAAGGAGAGCAGATCGGCTTGGATAGCTCCTCTCGGAGCCATCTTCTTAAGAAGAATCACCAGGGCTTCTTCGAGGCTTCTGCCTCCTGACTTTGCCTGCAGCTTTCAGAGGCTTCCTGGATGCAGCGCTACCTAGCACTGGCCGTTGGAGGCTCTGCTCAGTGATGTCACCTCTGCTGGCTCTCCCTGGCTCTCCCTTACTGCCAGAAGCCGCCACCGCTGCTGAGAAGTGCCACTGCTGCACCCAGCCGCCACTCTTCAGTGCTCCTGTCACCGCAAGACCACCGCTGCTGCCATCCTCGTCTCCGCAGCCTCTCTACAGGGCCTCCAAAGCCCTCATTGATCCTGCAGTCTCGGCTACCTCATGGCACCCGGCCCATAGGCTCTGTAGCCTCAGTGGCCATTTTGTTTTGGCACAAAGAAGCTCTGGTGGCCATTTTGTCTCCTCCTTGAACGAGCAGTGAGTACAGGCCATGGCCTCCTCTCCTGCCTCTGAGCCACAAGTGCCTCCAAACACCGTGGCCCCTGCTCCCACCACCAAGTCCCCTTCATCAGGGACCCACAGGCGCAGGCCTGCCCAAGAGGCTTTCCCCACTAAGCCCCCTTCCACGACCCCCAGATCTAGTCATAGGGGCACAACTAATCCATCATCTCAGGAGAATGACAGTACCACCCAGGCTCCTCCTAAAAAGGCCAGGGCCAAGACCAAGAACACGGAATCCCATCTGTTTCAGGCCCAGAGGCCTGTTCATCTTAGTCCTCCTCCTGACCTATCTTCTGATTCGGAGGATGATCTCTTCCCTGCTGCATCCATTATCCAACCTGAGGAAGCCAGGAGCACAGGAGATCTGGCCAGCAGTGTGGATGAATCTGAGGGTGGCAGGAGCATCACTCCTGATGAGGAGTCCCTCTTCCAGGAGGTCATTTCTCCCCCAACCCGACACTGCCGTTCTTACGTGGCATGGCTGATATTATAACTGAGGCCATCAAACGAGGCAGCAGCAGGACTTAAACACAGGTCTTTTAACCATTCTACTCCATACTGGTCTGCTTCTTCTTCTGGTTCCAGATGCAGGGATGGTGAGCTCTTGGCTTCTTCATCACATGAGCTACCTGGCATGTCCAGTCAACAGTCGGTTTTCAGAGAGGAGGAACACCCAGCAAGAGATTCAGATCTCTCGGAAGATGCGGGCCTTCCCCCGACCCACCTACCCTTCTCGGTTTATTTAAACCTGCTATCTTTCGATCTCTCCTTTTTAAGGCCAAGAAGATTGCGGGCATCCCTTCTCCCAAAGCACCTCGGGGAATGGAGGCAGACAAGACTGACACCACTGGCCCTCTCTTCATCCAGCCTACTATGGAAAAGGAGATGATTCCGTCGCCCAGACTCTTCATAGACATGGTCCAGAATCAATGGGCATCACCAGGTATAGGTCCCCTCCCCAATACCTTGGACAAGCACCTGTATAACATGGGACCAGAACTCACCAAGGCTCTAGAGGGACCTTCTATTGCCTTACCTATAATTGGCCTTTCTTCTCCTAACGCAGCCTCAGCAGTGCCTGAGGAGGCTATTCGCCCTGAGGACAAGAGGATAGAACAAACTCTGGTCAAGGGCTACCAGGCCTCAACTTGGACCGTTAAGGCGGGTACCTCTGCTTATTTCTTTAGTCACTCTGCTCTCTTAGGGCTAAGACAACTTCAAGCAAGGCTTCCAGCCCGGATTTCTAGGGTTCGCAGGGACATTAACAAATAGAATACACTGTAGATGCCTCCTTGGATGCAGCCCATTTTGCGTCCAAGGCCATTGCATCTCCATCTCCACCCGCCGGCTCCTTTGGCTTAGGCAGTGGCAGGCAGAAGCCCGAGCCAAGTGGAAGCTTGCCTCCTCTCCCTATTCTTCCTCCCGTCTCTTTGGCCCTCCATTAGAACCTTTACCAGTGGAGTCCAAGGGTAAGCAGAAGGTGCTGCAACCGATCACTAAAAAACAGGAAGGTCAGAACAGTCCTTTCGTGGTCAGGACGGGGGGTTCCTCCAGCTCCTGTCCACAACATTAGGCTCCCCCCAGGCAGGGCCCATCTTTTTCCAACAGATCAGGCAGAAACAACCAGAAATTCCAGATCAGAAAGTCTTCCAGGGACAATACCAACTGTCCCAATAAGAGGCAGAATTGACTGCCTGGAGGATCTCCCGATAGGGGGACATCTGTCAATCTTCATGGATCATTGGGACCACATGACCAACAACGCGTGGGTCAGGTCCACGATCAGATTCGGCCTTCTCTTGGACTTGCATTCCAGCCCACTGAACCACTTTGTCACGTGCCCAATCTCCAGGGATCCTCAAAAGAGGCTCCTAGTGGAACAGGCTGTCCATCATTTGCTCCACATTCGGGCCATTCAACCTGTGCCTCCATGGCAGGTGGGACGGGTTTTTTACTCTCGTCTCTTTATCGTGCCAAAGTCTTTGGGGAGCTGGAGAGCAATCCTTGATCTCAAATTTATCTCCTTCTTACTTTGTCCCCACCTCTCGTCTGGTACACTTGGGAGTCCTCATCAATTCTCAGGGGAAGGTCTTCCTGTCTCAGGAATGCCAGATCAGCCTCAGGGACTTGGCCATTGAGGAACAGATGAGACAGTGGATCCTTCTTCTCCAGCTGTCTCAACTGCTGGGGAAGATGATCTCTTGCTTCTCCATTGTTCTTTGGGCGCAGCTTCACAGCTGCTGTCTTCAGTGGTTTCTCCTGCCATTCCAGAAAACCAACAGCAGCTGTTCCCTAGTGAAGGTCTGGTTGACTCCAGAAGTAATCCGCTCTCTGGACTGGTGGATCTCCCCGGCCATTTCTCAGGGGTCCCTCCACGTCTTGTAGTTACGACGGACACGAGCTTGACAGGTTGGGGCACTCACCTGGAAGATCTAGCAGCTCAGGGTTTCTGGTCTGATTCTGACCTTTCCCACAGTATGAATTGGCTAGAGTTGAGGGCCATCCATCTGGCTCTCCTTCATTTCCAATCCTCACTTCGCAACACATACGTGCTGATTCAGACAGACAACACGACAGCCAAGGCGCATGTCAACCACCGGGGGGGATGAGAGCGGTATCTCTCATGGAGTCTGCCTTTCACCTAGGGATCTAGGTGGAAGCCAATCTTCTCTGTCTCCACGCCGAACACATCTCAGGCTCTGACAACACCAGAGCAGACTGGTTGAGCCGCACAACAATCGATCCTGCGGAGTGGAGTCTGAATCATCTCATCTTCAAACAGCTGTCATCCAGGTACGGGACTCTGGTGCTAGATCTCTTCGCAACGGCATCCAGCAAGCAGCTGCCCAGGTACCTGTCTTGTTACACAACACCAGGCACAGAAAGGAGGGATGCTGTAAGGTGCAGGTGGCCTCATGGTCTCCTCTACACCTTCCCTCCCTTACCTTGATACAGAGGGTGATTCAGAAAATGATAGAGGAAGAAGCCGAGCTCATCCTAATTGCCCCCCACTGGCTGCGCCGAGCATGGTTCGTGGATCTGGTCAATCTCTCAGTGGGCCCAGCATGGCATCTTCCCCTGATAATGCCCCTTCTTCATCAGGGATCCATTCATCATCCCGATCTGGCCTGACTCAGCCTAACCGCATGGAGGCTGAGCAGGCGGTCTTGAGGGCGGCTAACTTTTCTGAAATTGTAATTCAAATTATTCAGGCTTCTCGCCACCCAGCCACTAACAAAATCTATGAATTAACATGGCAGGCTTTAATTACTTGGTGCCTTTCTAGAGATGCTACTCCCCTGGAGGCTTTGTCTCCCCTGGTTTTGGAGTTCTTGCAACAGAGGCTTGATAAAGGACTCTCACCAAACACCGTATGGCAGCAGGTTTCGGCTCTTTTTTCGGTGCTCTCACTTCACTGAAATGAGCCCCTCTCCTTGCACCCTCATGTCTGCCACTTCACATTAAGGGTGTGTCTAATCTCTGCCCTCCTGTCATAAACCATTTCCCCACGTGGGATCTAACCAAGGTCCTTGATTTTCTCACTGGACCACCCTTTGAGCCTTTAAGGTTGGCCTCATTGCATCACCTCACACTAAAAACATGGTGACAATCACGTCTGCATGGCGGGTCTCAGAATTGGCAGCCCTTTCTATCCAATCTGACTTGTGTGTATTTCACCCAGACTGTGTGGTCCTTCGCCTTGATCCCACCTTTGTTCCAAAGGTAAATTCGGCCTTTCATCGATCGCTAGATCTCACTCTTCCAAATTTCTGCCCTAATCCTTCTCACAGTCTTGAATGCAAATGGCACAGGTTAGATGTAAGACATGCTCTTAAGATCCTCCATGCCAATATGGCCGTTTTCCGGTGGACTGAAGCTCCCTTCATGTCTTTCCATCCCACAAATAAGGGGCTAAAAGCTTCTCCATCTATGGTTGGGCGCTGGATCTGGTCTGCCATTTCAAGAGCTTACCTGACACATCATCTCACATCTC